AAAAAAAAAAAAAAATAGAAAGAGACGGAAAAGAGTAGGACGGTTAGGAGTTAGAGGGTTAGTTATCATACTGAAGTTAATCTCTGGGTAGTCATTAACAGGGACATAGACCTTCTCCTGGGTCTTAGTCGGACGCCTGTAGTCAGAGGGTGGATGATAGTTAGGTATAACTTTCATAGCTTTCTCAATAAGCTTATGACGCTCATCTTCCAAGCGTTTGCGGTAACGATATTCTCTGGTGTTTACACGTTTACCAAGGTTATCGTACTGTGGTGCCGGCGAGGGAGACCTAGATGACAAGTGGTGTTAGGCCCGTGGGAAAGGCATGATACAAAAGGGGAGCGAAAGGTCATCACTCACCTATCTCCATCAGCCGGGACAACATCGTTTATACGAAGTTTCTGGCTAATTTCTTCAATACGCAGGTGAAGAGTGTAAGCTTCAAGCTGCTCGTTGGTCATATTTGCCATGATCAGAGTCGGAAGACCCATCAGGCCAGCAGCCTTGTTCTCTTGGGCATCACCCCAGCGGTTACGCTTCTTTCGCCTCTTGGTTCCATCTGCAGGAGGATCAGCTATACACCAAGTAGTTAGTATGGGAGATATTCTGATAGTGGTAGAGCTGAGGAGAGAACCTACCTCTCACCGGACTCCTGCCGCGCTTGTTCCCACCATCCATGTGAGCTGGAGTTGATGAGGAGCTTGGAGTTTCATCCGGCTCATCACCAAACCTGCGACGGCCCAGTGGGATATTGTTAGAACCGGTAATACCTTGGTTACGCCACGCCATGATTGTTGTTGATGCTGAGATTCGCAATCAAGCGAGGAATGAAGGATATATCTGTCGTGGCAAGGTGCGTGAAGGACAGAGATCTTTTTTCGGCCTGATAAACCAGAGCTCAAGGGGGCGACTATTACATCATTCTTATATAAGCATCACGTGGGGTTACGGTTCACTGGAGCCCTTCTACCATACAGCAGAGAGACGATTACACATCAAATAGAGAGTTATTATTGGACGTAATCGTAATTAATCGTCTGTGATGTCAGGATAGACTATTACTAAGCTTTTTCGTACCAAATTAAGAGTTTTCTTCACTTTGGTGCCATACCGATATCACCTGACATAAATATTACGTACTACGTACATGATTGCGATGATATCGTAAGCAGCAGCTTTGTTTACTTGCTTGCATCGCTCTTCATGCCGGCCTGAACCCACTGCCTGCTCTTAGCAGCTTCTCTCTCCATAGCCTCCTTATCCTTCAGCAATTCCTTGATGGTATGTGGCTTTGGAACATGCCGGCCCTTCTCGACTCCCTCCCTCTTAAGCAGCCTCTCCTCCCAGGCCTTCAAGTGGGGGAAGTCATCGATGTCAACTCCCGCCCATCCGGCACTGGCGATCCATCCCCAGTGAGAGATGTCAGCAATGCTGATGTGGTCTCCAACCAAGTAGCCAGACTTTGACTGCGAGAGGTGCTTGTCTAGTACCCCGTAGAGACGGCGGGTTTCATTCGTGTATCGGTTAACGCCATACTCAATGCGCTCGGGGGCATAGCGGTTGAAGTGGTTTGCTTGACCTTGCATTGGGCCAAGCTGATTTTCTCCGTGCCTTCGTTAGCAACACTTTTAACTAACTAGCGACACGTTTTTTTTAAGAAATGGATCGGGACTTACACCTGCATTCTGGAAGAAGAGCCAGTTGCTGACTTCATATGCTTCCCTGGTTCCCTTGGGGTAAGAAATCTTGTGCTCCGTGTCGTATCTATCGACGAGATACTCCAAGATACTTCCGGACTCGAAGATAGCGATCTTCTTGCCGTCGGTAAAGGTATCTGTGATGGCTGGTATGCGGCCGTTGGGATTTATCTCGAGGAACCAAGGCTCCTTCTGGGTGTTTTGTCCGAGTTCGATGGCCACGACTTTATAAGGGAGGCTACATTCAATGTGTTAGCGATTTCTCAACTTGTCATGCCCTTGCAGGGAATCGTGGGGAGCTTACCCAAGTTCCTCCAAGGCGATTGAGATCTTGATGCCATTGGGGGTCTGCGAGGTGTAGAGAGTGATATCTGATGCGGGGGCAGCCATCTTGACGTTGCTGTTTACCAGTGTAGTGACTGGGCGTTGGAATTGCTTCGTGTACTGAGTCAGGCGTCTGATCATTTATTGATGACAGGAGGATGAATGGAGACAGCAGGCGACACTCTGGACTTGGCTTACCTTGGACTTGGGAAATCAAGGTAGTTATATATCTAGGCAGACTGATATCAACTTTCGAGCCCAAATTCGTCCGTATTTACAACCGAGGGGGGCGGGGCAGCTTAGAGCGATGAATTATAAATACGGCGATGGCGATGGTGACGATGGCGCGAGAGGAGATTTATAATCGTCAGAAGAAGGTTGAGATGGTCTCTTTCCTTCGTCTTCTTCCTTTATCTATCCATCTATACGTATATATATACAATCAGTCTCCCTCCATGCCCCCCGCATGTCGTTGGGTGCGAAAAAGTAACCAGCGCTGGCTATTCTTATTACATCACAGCTGCAGGGTTGGAGGGCCTAGAAAGCCGGGGACTTTGCTGGCGCCAAGATGCCTAGGTTCCATGCAAAAGAAAAGAAGACGCAGACGAAGATGAAGAAAATACCATCCGTTAGTCAACGTGCATGAGATCGTAAGTCACAGACATAACTCTGATGATATATGTGGCTGCTGCATATATAATGTAACTAATAACTACAAGGAAGAGAAAACGCTGGACTGCAGATGGTCGGAACTTCGAACGCCGCTGCTTGAATCTCCAGGCTGAAACAAATGGGATATATCGGGTGCATCAGTATATGTGCAAGGGGAGTAAAATGATAAGTATAAACAGGGAACAAACAGAAGAATAGAAAGTTGGTGAGTGGGAGGGTGAAGGGCCGAAGAAGTATGTAAAAGAATGTAAATTTTGATCCCCCGTGAACCCGCCGTGAACGAACCAGTTGTATATGCGCCCCCCTCTCCGTATAAACCCCAGTAACCCGATGAAAATCCGTTAACCCATGAATAAAGAAGCAAAGGAAAATGAGATGAAGAACGAGTGGCTACCATGTGAAACACTCTTCGATGAAGTCGACATGGGTGGGAGTTTGTCGTTGTCGACACGCAAATCGAATCTCGTCGCTCAGGCTCCCCGTTCCGCACACCATGACACCCATGGCTCCAACTTGCTTTTCGATCTCTCCGTCAAGGATAGTGCCAATATCAGGTTTTCCAGGGAACATCTGGACTGTCGTGCTGGGGCTGTGAATTTCCTTGGTGTTGCGTGGTCGGGTTATGAAGAGCATGATCCGGAGGACTTCTCGTCTTCGGTTCATGGACAGGATGCTGGTCATCCAGGGCCGGATCCATTCAAGATGTTCGGGAGATTGAATCACCCATACAAGAGTTAGGCGACGGGTAGCTACTGTGCCGTCTGCAAAACCAGCTACCAAATGGCGTACGTAGGAGACATGATGGCTGATACCAACACCGGCGGCAAAGAGCACGACCGAGCCGTATGAATCAAGGACGTGCTCGGCTCCGTAGGGGCCTTCTACCATGGCGGAAAGGGTGACACTGGTAGCGCCATTCTCTGTAGCTTTCTCATATAATTTGTTCGTCATTCCAGTTCTTCGTCGAATGACGAGAGACATGGTGGGATGTTGAAGACCGAGGACGTCTTGCTTGGTCATGACGAGGCCCTTTTCATCAGTATCGCTTTCCTCAGTATCACTCCACGCGACGCTGAAGGGGTGAGATGTCCACCAGCCAACAGACGGGATGTATAGATATAGATGTTGACCAGGTCTGAAAGTCCACGGTCGAGCAACTCTTAGGGTAACGCGCATTGCTTCTCCAGGAAGAGCTTCTATAGTTGCGGTTGTGTTACCACGTAGGAAGTTTCTATAAACGATTGTGACGATGCGCCATGCTCTCTGTTGGGACTCTAGTTAGCAAGAGAACAGAACAGAAAAGGGATGTAGTGGTTACCTCAAAGGCCCATAATAGAATGGCACCGAGAAGATACTTGAGTTGAGAATAACCAACCAAGTGTATCCATGTGAACGCAAGGAAGACTATAACCAAGACTATATGGAAATGGAGGAACGTCTCATAAAACGCATGGCGAAGTACAGAGACGGAGTGAAGAGATATGACCACAACGCAGACGGTTGCCTATAGGTAAAGTTAGTGTCTTCGTGGTTTATTATAGTTAGAGAGTTTGACTTACGACAATGCCAGTCAGTATCGAATTGCTGGAGCCCAACGACTCCCGTAGATCGGTCCAGCCATCTATTAATGCTCTAGTTAGGAGAGTTCCTAGATAATTATATCAGGATAACATAACATACCTGTGTGAACCTTCCCTACCATCCAGCAGATGGTGTGAGCTAGAGATTCCAGAACAACGATGCGTCCCAGCCATCGATGAAGCAAGTTCCAAGTATCAAACGAGACATCCAGCAACTTGATCAAGGGGTTATTCCGACCAGCCATAAGAACAAGAGGGATGAGATTGACGGTTGCCATGGTTCCAGTTCGTTTGCGAATCGAAGGGAGAAACTCCTTTTCAGGGCTGGAGAAGGGAAGTTTATGCAGGCAGAGATATGCATTACTCCCCACCACCATGAGCAGCAACACGGTGTGAAATCGGGTGGGAAGGGTACCCATGTTCAACGCCGTGGAGAGTCGGTACTCGCGATTGTGACGCTTCCAGAGCAAAGGAGCATACATAACATGCCTTTTCATCCAGGCCCAGAAGCTGTGGGCAGTGATGAAGTACCGCTGGGTATCGTTCGAGAGACTGGTAAGACGTCGGATATGAGCAGACATGCGAATGACGGCAGACCAGACGAGAATAACAGCGAAGACGCTTCCTCCAGATAGGATATAATAACGAGCAACTTTTTCATCGTACACTTCCTGCGGCGTCATAATATGGGGTCCCTCTTCATGATGTGATGATTCCTTGTCATAAGCAGCCGCTGCAAGGCCCGCTAGCAGCGGTGCCAGAAGGAGTGACGACCTCATGAGCAGTTGTAGAGCTCAATGCGGAGTTTGAAGAGGCTTTAACGAAGATGCGGGCGCGATAAAATGCTGAAAAGGAGTGACGATGTTAACGACTATTTGCAGTCGTATACTCTGTACAGTGTGTATTTTGTGCTGTCTGTGTGGTGAAAAAAAAAAGAGTGTAAAGTGAGACACCGCCTCGGTCTGCTTGGTTAAGCCGATGTAGAGACTGGAAGGGTAGCGAGAGAGTGAAATTGGTGTCTCTCAAGGAGCGAACGGCGTCTCTTAAAGGAGCGAGCGTGGTTGTTGTTTGTTGCTGTTGTAGATGTTGTTTCCCTTCCGGAGTCGTGATGTTGTTGTTTGAGGTCGTCGAGGCAGAAAAAGACACAGCCGAGCCAGTCAGCATAGCATGTCAGAGACGACCGAGTCTCCAAACCACCGTGCCCTGCGAGCTCTTGTCAACCTGGTACAGGGGACAGGGGACGTGGGAGCTGTGGGAGTCGACGTTTGAAGAGACGGACAGACAGAGACGACATAAGAAACAAGACGAGCAGCTGGCTACAGCCATCCTTTTCTTCCCCCTGGTCGACTTCGGCTTTTTCGCGGGACCAGGCGGCTTCGAATATAAAATGTGCTGAGCGGGACCGGCAGCAACAGTACGGGGGATCCAAGAGACTAGCGGCACCTGCAAGTACTCTGCAAGTCACTCTTGGGCTGACGCCTGGCGGGCGAGATACCGTCGAGAGACCTATGCCGCCAATGCAAGGTACAGCCGTCGATCAAGCCACCGCCAGCCAGTTCGAGTCAGGAGAAAACGATGGCGAAAAGTTAGAAGAGCAGGCGGGCGAATCAGCAGCCAGGTAAGTCAGAAATCTCCCAGAGGAATGGCTAGCTGGCTGATAGTGACTGGAGCAGGGCCTCAAAAGCTGAAACGCCGGACGGCTGGGCGTAAGACTTATCTCGACGGCGAGGGCGACTGAAAATACGGAGAAGAGAGGGATACTCCACCAGGACCATCGCGAAGGATGGATATCGCTACCTACTATACTGAGAGAACTGAAGGAGAAAGCATAACTACGGAGTACTCCATACGGGGTGGTCTAGACAACTGCGAGCGATGTACTCCGTACGGAGTAGGAAGAAGGGCTCTCTCCCTTCTTTGAGATGCCATGGGACCTGTAGAATTGGTCATCGCCTCCTGTTTCAAGGGAGCGAGTCAGAAGTATATCTGAAGAGTGAAAGCAGCGAAAAGGTCCTCGAACGACGATCAGAGGCGTGATGAGATCACTGGCTCCTTGATGGTTAGCTATGATATCGAATCAGCCCATCCTCCATCCCATCTGTGTTTCGGCAGCTACGTGGAGAGGTCTGCCAGTGTGGCCTGACCGAGTATCACCTCAGTATCGCTCCTGTCGCAAATCACTGGGCCCTAATATAACTCTGGCATGGGCTGCTAAGTGCTCCTGTCTGGGGGAGGAGATTCTACGGAGGGTCTCCATGGCTGCCATAGCTTATGTATAGCTTGAGCTCCCGATGCCATCTGCCACACAGGCTTTTCCTACAGCGGTTAGAGGAGTCAAGCTTGTTACGTCCGTTGCAGTAGCTTCGACCTACTCATCCCTGCTCCCTCCACTCCATCGCGAACTTAGTCGCTTGCACGGAAGGAAACAGCTCCCGACCTTGAGCTTCATATTGAAACTTGTTCGCCAGCTACTAACGCTTCCCTAGATCAACACCCATCACGATATCAGACAGCCAAAAAGAATAGACCTCGAATTCCCTCACGCTGGTGGAACCAAAGGGCAAACGTTACTAGGTGAGCCAGAGCGAGGACTTTCGACCCAGGATCGCTGATTTAACCGTTGGAACGAACAAAGTCTGGCGTCTCTGCCCCTCTCGCCCACTTAGAGGACAAACCACATCTTCTCCAAAACCCACAGGGTGATAAGGACGTTGAAGTTGGCCACTTATTCCCTCTCCCCACCGCTACCCAGGTTTCCTAGGTGCTAGATGGATTCTTTCCCCCGCAAAATGGTACTGCGTTAGGCAACTGGGGTAATCGGAAATAGGCGCCACCCGACTCGGACACCTACGACAGGTTACTGAACGGTTCAGAGAGGTAGTCCTAGCC